ACTTTAGTTCATTGCTTATCCTCTCTGGTTATTGGAGTTTAGGTATCTGCCATTTGCCCTTGACTGGGCATAGTATTCCTCCTAATATTATTATTGTTAGTAGTAGTAATCATAATGCTAATAATATCACTAATATTAGTAGTATCATTGTGTCATTTCAACACGCACTTTTAAAAAAACTCAGGAAATCTACAAATTTGGTGACCAGTGCACGATGCTGACCTTCGTGGTATACAGAGTGAAGTTTAGTTAATTTCAGTTTTGCTCCTCTGTTCTTCAGACACTTGTTTACAGACAACAGATACCTTACCTTCCTTTTACACCTCAGCACAGGAATGATTAAGTGATTACAACACGTTGCCTTTGCTTTAAAGATGGCTGTCATTCTGTCTGTAAATGAGCAGAGAAATAAACAGGGGTACAGTGCATAAACACTCATCACTTAAAAAGCAGGACTTTTCTCCCCTGAAAACAATATCCAATCACACAGTCTGACAGTCTGTGATGTTAAAACACTTTGCACAGCAGCAACAATTATGACCACAGACACAAATGTGAAACAAAACCAGCATAAAAAAGTGATCGCCACAGTGATTCTGCTTTAGACACACGAATAGAGGCTGTAGCAGGAGACTGCTTCAACAGGATTGTTACCTGTTAAAGTTCAGGGTCTGGCTGCTTGGGTCAGCATGCACTCCGCTTTCACTCTGGGTTCTTGGCTAGCTTAGGATTAGCATGCTGCCTGTGCAAAGAACCAAAGTTGGGTTAGCAGCATAATGTGGTTGTTTGTGTTCTGCAGTTAAAAAAATAAATGTCCATATCCACACTTTAAACTGTCACTTTTTTTTCCCTGTGAAACGTGAACTGAAATCAGCCAGTTGCAGCACGAGTGCAAGAACCAATAAGCAGGATCGATAGGCAGACAGGCTGACAATTCCAAGGAATTGGACTACTGGTTTTCTGTAAGAAGCGGTTCTCGATTCCCATCACAAACCATGCTGTTGTTTTGTTTACCTCTCATCATTTCAATACATCACTAGTTGAAGCTTTGCAGAAACAGTGCAAATATCTATCAAAATAATATTTTACAGCGTCTTTTTATGGTTTATATCCAATTTATATTTTGGTGCTAAATTTAGGTGCAAAAAGGAAGGTGATTATCTCCCTTAGAACAGTCACAGACCCCACCACATTAAACGGAGTCTGTGACTGCATACCCACTGCTTGTCAAAAGTCATGCACTGAGTATATGCCTGCTCTAAGTTTTTATTTAGTGTGCTTGTTTTTGTCAGGAATCATGTACAAAAAAAACTTTGTGTCTGAAAAAGGTGTCAGTGCCAGCATTTGGCCTCGAACTAATCATCAGACCAAAAAGCACACTGCCATGACCTCCAAGCTACAGCTACACCTACCTCTAAGTCAGCCAACTATTTTCATAAGCCCTGCTTCACATGTTGTGTTAAGTCAGTGTGGCGGTTATATGGTTGTCAGCCAGTTCCCCCTTCACTCTCACACTTGCACGCGCACACACATACACATTGGCCAAGGCTCATTAAGCTCCTTCCCAAGCTCCTCATTTTGTCCCTAATTAGGGGAACCAATGGTTTTGCAGGATCTGGTCAACCTCTAAGTCACTCCAAGCAAAGATATCCTCCCCACAGTACTGTTGAGAAGCCATTAGAAACTTTCAGGACATTGGATGCTGACATGTTTCACCTTTAAAGCGCCTGTGTGACTAGCCTGTCATTGCTGACTGATTGCTGTGTATTTACTCCAAAACGCAATGGGTGTCACACAAAAAGTGATCTGTGGAGCTCCGAGGCAGCAGAAAGGCACAGTGTGTCTACGTCACACAGCTCTCTGTCTCTAGCTCGCCTTTAATGCATCTTCTATCGTCCCACAGACTGTCTCCTCGTCACCCATCTATTCATCTCCCCTCTCAATGGCTCCCTCTGTTCCCCTCGACTCACTATTTCCTCTTTATCCCTCTGATGTCACAAATTCAGATATGAGCTTCTCTGATAGAACACACACCCTTGGACACTGCAGCTTTGTTTGAAAAGACAGCGATCAGTGGATGCGAAGAACTAGGGAAGGGGAACAAGTCGACAGTGTGGTTATTTTCCAAAGCTGCAGGAGACTGTAAAATGCAGAAACAAAGGGAGACATGTAGGCTAAAAAAAACATGCATGAATGCTTCTGAAAAGGCCTGCGTTGTGTTGCTGCCTTGTCTCATCCCTGTGGCTCGGAGCCAGCCGTGCCTGCCAGGGCACTACTGTTGAGTCTATTTCTGTTATCTGCTCTCTTTCCCACGAAGAAGAAACAGCTGACCGCTAATATCGCTACCTGGGAGGGGGTGCGACAAGACTTCTCAGACCTGGCGCTGTCTCAGAAATACATATGCTTACAAAGGATCACACACTTGGCTCTCGGCTGAGTTTTGTGGCACCCGTTGGGAGGATTTGTTGGCACAGTCGCATAAACACGTACTTGTCTTTCAATGACAAAACCAAAAGAAAAACACAGTCAGTGTTTGGAAGGTCTAAACAACCATTTTGTTTCTTTTGTAGTTAAACTGTTTAGTAGAATTAATTCTGTGTTGACATATGACCCTCAATTCTGCTTCTTTGCCCCTGTAGTGTACGGACGCCTTTTCCTGTTAAAAGGTAGTTCTTCCTCTCCACAGTCACAAAGTGCTTGCTTTGTTACTAACCCTTTTTTTTTCTTCCAAATCTTGACAAACAGGGCACAACTAATAATGATTCTAACTCACCCATTTTAAAAAAATCCAAAAAGTATATTTTGCTTTTATCCGACAGTTGTGGCTGTGGTTGGCAGTCATGATATAGACCTCCCAGGGTTATTAACCTGAACTAACAAATTTAAGTCATCTGAACATTTAACTTAAAAATCAAGAATAAGAAGAGGTCAAAATGTGTTAAAACAACAACAATGTCTTAAACAGAGATAGTGGCATGGGTTCAAAGTAAGGTTTGGTGAGCTTGGAGGGGTGATCGGCTGAATTAAAGTCCCTGACAGTGATGGGGATTTTACATGTGTTAAATGCATCAATAAAGGAGAGCAGAGAGTTGAGTTTAAAATGATAATGCACAGACGACACTTGCAATCAACGCGGCAAGGGTGTATTTAATATAATGTGACCTTTTCAAGCCTACTGTTTGCATCTGACCTGGAATGAATACGCAGCATCGGGCTTTTCAAAGCCAACAAGAATTTCATTATTTTGAGCTCCAATGGTGTTTTATTGCCTTAGGGCTTTTACACAATATCTTGTTGAACAGTTATTGATTCAAGCGCAGAAATGTTGATACAAATCTTTCATATTAATAACTGAGTTCTGATATTTTCATGGGTAGAAACAACATTTCAGTATAAAACATATGAAGGTGCAAAGCCTTCAAGAATTCCCAGTATCAACAGTTTTTTCAATAACGTCATTCAACCTTAGATCACTTGTTGAGATGCCAAACTTTTTTTTAAAATTAAAATATACAGTGCAGTTTTTCAGGGACAGGGAACTTAAAGAGTGGGGGTTATATGTTCCCTGTTGTGTGGTTCATGACTGAAGTCTTATCCGGGGATGGGCTGTGTTTTAGAGCGCCCCCCCAAATGAACATGTCAGAGTTTAATATTTTGATATGCAGAGAAAAGCAATTATCTCTTTAACTATTTTTAAAGTAAAGGAAATCCAATGATAATGGTTATAATAATAATAATAATAATGCAATTTTGAAGTTTTACAGAAACAGCATCGACCATTCATGCTGCATATCCAAGACTGGACATTGCAGCAGTAGCAGAGATGAGGGAGGCTCCTTGCACCAGAAGGGGACAGTGAATGACAACCCATTTTGTTGGCAAATAGGACTGCTGGCGGTCAGTGAGTGATAGCAGGCTGACTGTCACAGAGATGGGCTCAAAGCGCTCATGTGCCTGCTCCGTCTCTGCTTTCACCTCTGCTAGAATTTCACACTGCTTTATCATCACCTATTACTAAACACAGTTTGAGCACATATGTTTTACTGCAAGTAAAATCCATAAAGCATAAAAAAGATTCATCATTATATCCAGGATTAAAATTGGCTCGAGGAAACAAATAGGCTAGATGATGTCAAAAAGGGGACGCAGATGATTAGACCGGTTGTGTCTTTATTCATACCATGATGTTAAAAGAACGCAGACTCCAGTAAGCACTGTGGATAGGTACAGGGGATTTGTTTTTGTTTGTTGTTTGAAAACATTAATGTCAAACTCAAATCAGAATAAGAGCGTGTAAATGTAACCCTCTCTCTCTGACAAAGCTTCACACTGCTTTGAAAATGCATAAGCTTTGTATTTCAGCTGGTGGTTATAATATCGCAGTATCTAGAAATGCATTAAAAAAATAACACTGAGAATACGCGTTCAATAACGCGCGTGTGTAACGAGTCAAGTAAAGTTAAGCATATTTACAAAAAAAAATTAATTTTGCTGAGATTAATCGTCAGAATAAGAGTTGTCCTTACTCATTCTCGGAATTCCCTAAATGACGCTCTGGCTCCAGGTTAACCTCTGTGAATGAGCGACCAGTTGTTAAATTACACGGAGATAAGTGGCGGTTCCTCCCTAGAGGAACGCGCCTTCTTCCATCCTCTGGGGCTCACCAACTAGCTCAGACAGCGACTGTCCACAGCGGTGCGACTGACTGAGCGCAGCACGGTTGGGTGTGACTTGAGCATACAGCGCTACCCTCAACTACACTGGACAGTACAGGGGGTTGCAACACACAATAAATCTACAGGTATTTTGCGAGTTCGGTCATTTTTTTCTCTTTTATTGTGGCAACAAAAAAGGGGGAAAAACGCCTAATGTGAATTCACAAAACAAAACAAGAAGCGCACACACGTCGAAACTAGCTGTGCTGATGAAATATGTGTGCCTTAAACTTCATAGTTAGCAGCAAGAGTTATATTTTTTTAAAGGATAGAGAAAGATTTTACCTTGAGCAAGTTACCAGTCCTTCTGATGCATAATGACAATGGTCAGAGCTCGGTGCGTTCACGGGGATTCGACAATTCCAAAAGACGGTAAGTCCTAAGATAAGTCCACAAAACGTGTGATAATGAACGGAAATCTCTTCCTATAATGAGCCCAATACATGTGACATTACTAGGATGAAGAGGAGGTTAAAACTCAGACAGGAGTTCTGAATGTCTGCTAGTTCCGACTGCGCGCCCAATGCAAGAAACAGGTTCAAAAAATCCCGACTGCCGCTGTTATTTTCTTACATTGTTCCCACAGATAACATCCCCGCTCTTCATTAACTGTGAAAATAAAATCCTCTTTTTAAGACAGTAATATTTTATTTAGTTAAATTCCACAAATTCTATGATTTCCTCTGAGAAAAAGTTATTCTCCAAATCTGAAATTCTCTCTCGTCCGCAGATCGCGCAGCCTTCCAGGTGAATGTGATCGCTGAATGGAGCGGCGCATCAAAGAGGGCTCGCGCGTGTCTCGGGAACCGCCGTCCCCAGCTCGCGGCTCTGGAGCGTCCTTGCCTGCCTGTGTGTCCGCGCGCAGCAACAGCCGGATTCCTTATTTGGAAGCCCGGGGCTCGCGCTGCAGTCAATGGTTTGAAATTGTACCAACATGACTTCCAGGCAAGTGTTTCAAAATAAAATAGGTAAATAGACGCGAAAACGTTGATTGGAGTAATACACACACGTGTGTGTGCGCGCGTTGGTGATGGATGTTTCTGATGTATGTGTGTATGATATATGCATTCTTAAGTACACTCAAAAAACTAATTTACTTACTTTACTCAAAAAGTCACAATTATTTTCACATTCCCAAATTGCATTTTCAATACTGAAATCCCAAAACACATCTTGTTTCTGTTGCACACAAAAGCTGCACCTTTATTAAAAAAAATAAAAAATTAAAAAATTAAATCCTACAATAAACTGAGGTTTCCCCATGGGAGTGCTTTTATATTGAAGGTAAAAGCATCCACTTTCCTGCCAGATTCTGTCTGTACTGTGTTCAAAGCTGAGGGGGAAGGGGGGGGGGGGGGGGGGGGTGTCACTCAGTAGAAAATTCACCCATCAGCCCCCTCTTCTGGAGTCAAACAGCCTCAATTGGATGTTGTGTCAGGGCAGTGGCACCACCTACATTAACACACAGAGAGGGAATGTTAATAAATGGCCATGCATACATTTTAACAGGTTATATATATTCAATAACTATACACGCATCACACACAGACACACTCTATCTACAGCTACTATTAGTCTCTGGGAAAAATCTCAGTTTCTGCCCCTTTGAAATTATGCCTTTAACCTCTTAATATCAACACACTTAACAACTGGATCAGGGGTATTGTTTGTGTTTGGTTATGCTTTCCATAGAATTTTCACCCTTTTGGAATACTTACATTGAAAAGCATTTGAGACACAAAAAAAAAACCCCTGTAATGTCAACATTTATGGGATGTCATTAGAAATTTAAAATACTAGTTTCTAAAAATATGCATATTAAACTTGTGGCTACAATAAACCCAACCATAATCCATAACCTTAATGTGTTGCTGGTGACCTGGCAGATGGTAACAGGTTTATTACCAAGAGACAGGACTTTAGTTTTTCTTTGCAGTGAACTCATAAACAACGAGTGCTATAGTGCTGCAATATTAAGAAAATGAACTGGTTCCTTGTGTGATGCTTACTTTCTTTTATCTTAATATTTTCATAATGCGCTCGAGTGCCACATATACCGTACTATGTAAAAAATTAAGCAAGTTAATAACTGGAATTGTTAAAAAAAAACATTATTTCAGTTCATGTTCCTAGTTGCAGTTTGCTTTTGTAATAGCACCATGGCTTCTGGGATTCCATGGAGTTGTGCCCCCAGGGTGTTGATAATCCAGCCATGAGAATGTGTCAGTTATTTCAAAGATAAATATCAAAGCAGGGATTTTTCTCTCTATTTTCACTATTAATCTGTCTTATGTTCTGAGTACATGGAATACAACATAATTACAGACATTAATTAGACAGCTTGTTTTGGTGAGTTTTACTATGCAAAACATGCATCATGTGATATGTGTAGCTATATTTCCATAGAGGAAATACGTTTGTGTGCATTTCTGTGTGCATTCTGTGTTGACCTACATTGGATAATTTGAAAGAGTTCTGACCCACGCAATTTCAAGGCCTTGAGCTGAATGTGAACCCATCAGCTGAAATGCACAATGACAACAGTAACTCACCCATATATAAACTGAGACGCAAACAACAATTAGTGGCAACAGTGTGCTAAAAATCGCTGACAGAAAGAAATTCTAACATGATAAAATGAGGAAATCCGTTCCTCATTAGTGACAACCCCAACTCAAGTGAGTATATTTCGGGTTATATTTTGGGATAGCTGTACAACATCTCCAAAAAACGTTCTATGGATGCCTAGTCAGATGCCCAAAACACCTCCAATAACTGCTTTCAACTGGAAAAAGCTGTTGTATTCTAAGCTTTTCTTGGATGTCTGAGCAGGTGTCAGTAAGCCTAGTTTTTTTCAATTCCATTTCAGTTTCAATTAAATTTTACTTATACAGCACCAAATCACACCAACAGTCACCTCAAGGCACTTTATATTGCAAGGTAGACCCTACAATAATACATACAGAGAAAAACCCAACAATCATATGACCCCGTATGAGCAAGCACTTTGGCGACAGTGGGAAGGAAAAACTCCCTTTTAACAGGAAGAAACCTCCGACAGAAACAGGCTCAGGGAGGGGCGGAGCCATCTGCTCTGACTGGATGGGGTGAGAGAAGGAAGACAGGATAAAAGACATTGTGTGGAAGAGAGCCATTGATGCTGATAATCTCAGTTTTCAGCCATTACAAAAGTTTACAGCCTTAGATTAAGATTGGAGCATTCGTTGACTGTTAAAGTTAAAAGTTTTGGTTTCTACGTCTTTAACACAGCAGCTTGGTATAATGTCTGCATTACTTCTGATGGGGCCTAATGCTCCCATTTGTTAAAATGTCCATGTGACACAAATGTATTTAACTGGAGGAAACAGTGGATCTTGGAGGCAGGGACCATAGCTACAGGCTCAGAGATGCAAACTCATCTCAGTCTTTATACTGAACTGCAAACAGCTTGTGATGAAGCCACAAACACATCAACCTCAAAATTAAGATATTCTGAGAACTCAAGAATTTATGGAGCTGGAGTCTTTGAATTTTAGCTTAACCCTCTCCACCCTTTGATGAACCCTGAAATCCTGTCAGTAAAATGTAATAGCCATGTTAAAATGCAATATATGTAACAGACTGTATGTGACTTGAAATGCTTGATCCTTGACAGTCTCTTATGTTATTGACGCCTCCATGCATTGTCGAGCAAACTTTTTATACCCATTTTATATAACCAGTGTAATTTTGACCACATGCTGAAGTCATTTCACCGTATTGGGATAGAGTGGAGTGTAAATAATATGCAGTGATTAGAATCTCACCTTGAACAGAAGTGTGATCACTGACATAAGAGGCAGTCCTCAGCATTACATTAAGCTTTGCCACATGGAGGTGAAAATGGAAAACTCACATTACTGTGCAGCGCTCTTCATTGGGAAAAGCCCTGCTCTTTCAACACCGCTACAGTTTTGAGGGCACAGTTACAGCTGATGGTGGATATAATTCTATTTTAACTGAATCATGGAGCTATAGTCAACTGCTGTCTGGCTGGAGAACGTGAAAGAGACGTCTCTACCAAAGTTGTGCTGTCTTTGATTTTTAGAGCATTTCTAAAGAAACTACAGTATGTACCTCACTGTAGGCCATATCGTTTTTGTCACTGACCATCCAAGAAGTCTGTGCTTCATTTTTGGCCATCTCACTAATTGGATGAGCTTTGCACCAATATAGCGTTTGCATACAGCTTGCCAGCCAATCTTGCTAGCACAGGCAGATAACTTTGCATACTAGCTTGGTCCAAACATGGTCAGTTCTGGCTTAGAAAAAGCATCATGAGGCTTCAAGCATTGAAAAAAAGAGCATTTAAAAGCAACACCCCCTGTCCTAATGCCTCATAGTGACATGGATACATTAACGAGGACTTCATTAATGTTCAATTAATACAAATGCCAAGATGTAAATGTTTCCTGTCACCTGGCTTTTCCATGCTGGAATTCTGGGAGCATCAACTTTTGACTGGGCACAGCACGGTGGCGTGGCGGTTAGCACCGTTGCCTCACAGCAAGAAGTTCTGAGTTATGTATTATGTTGGCATCTGAATTATGCAAAGTTACATTAGTAAAGACTAAGATTAAAAGTATGGAACCGGAAATGAGCAGAATGGGTTACCTCTAAGTAAGTGCATCATGCTTCAACATACTCTGTTTTTATAGATTGGCTTCAACCACTCACTGGCAGGATCCCACTCGTCTATGATTCACTCCTCTAATTTAACAAATCTGAATATGCTGAGAGAAACTTTCCACTTCAACAGTTACAGACTGGCATAGTTGGAAGGCTTCTATCAGTTTATAAGTGAGGACAGTCAGTCGGGAACAGGGTCAAGTCCAGGTCAAATTCTAAAAGTGGTTTTTTTTTGTGTGTGTTTGTTTTTTTAAATGAATGATCATATTTTGATTAACCGATTAGTGCTGTTGTGTTTGGAACTATCAGTTAATAGACTATTCAAGGGCTTTGCAGTGTTGCAGTGCTGATTTCCTACCTATTTAACTTCAAGACCCAGTGAGAGAGAAGTTTTAATTAAGACTAACCTGAGTAAGTCCTGTGGAAGCTTTCAGGTTCATTCTGGACCTTGACCACAAGCCTAGACATTTATCCCGACTCATAATACTCATGTCTTCAGCCAAGAAGAGAACAGGACATGTCATTTTGGTTTAACTTAAATGTTTTTAAAGGCATTTTATGACAACATTCTCAGTCCAGGACTGCATATCTGAGGCAATGAAAGAAAAGGTTAAGGATCAGGCAAGTGAACGGCCAGGACTGCAGTGCTCTAGAAAGAACAGCCAGTATAACTTGAGAGCTGCAGACAGCCATAGCTCAGGACCAAAGCTCCATTGTGTGCCACCTGGTCTTTATTCCCTTTCATTTCAGCACCTCCCTGTTTTTCATTAACCCCGTGTTTCCAAAATAACTTGTCACCTGCCTCGCAGTCTATTTCCCATCATTGTGTCATGTCCTCTCAAAAAGCTCAAGTTGGGCACATATGTACGTTGTCTCTCTGCCTGTTACTGAACGTAGTCTACCTTTTCTTTAAGAAATTAAAATTTATTTTGCCTGTTAAACCTTCACAATCTTGAAAAAAAAAAAGATTTTTCTCCATTGCCAGTAGATGATCTCAGGACTTCTCAGTTGCGTATGAGTACCTCTTTCATAACACTCTACAACAGCTGTTGTTATTCTCATGTGTATATGTACAGTGGTTTGGTGATCACATACTTTAACACTATGACACATTTCCCTGTAGTGGTATGTCTGTGTTTTTAATACAAAGTAACATTTTTCTTCTTCAACTTTTTTGTTTTCTTCTT